CTTGTTGACTGGTTGAAGGATTTCACTATGGCTGACGTCAGTTAGAGTGCCATTGGAAAGCAACAGGGAGTATTAGACAGCCAGGTGTTTCATCAGCCTGGTTTGGGACTCTTCATCAGTATGCACCCATCCCACTGCCGGAGTCCAAACCCAAGACCTTCTGGTTGCAAGACGAGCTGCCTTGTAGACCATTAAGCTACTGGGACCCAGCTGATCTAATAGCCAGTCAATGCATGAATCCTAACTTCTGCCAGTTCATGTAAAACATAGTGTGACCACTTCGCAATGTCTTCTTCGACGAGTTACCGCCTCACCTCTAGAGGCAAGCCACGACAAGTAGAGTACAGCAGGGTGAATGTGAGGCAGTAACTCATCGAAGAAGACATTGCGAACTGGTCGTACTATGTCATCAATTAGCAGAAGTTAGAATTCATGCATTGACTACTATTAGATCAGCTGGGTCCCAGTGGCTTAATGGTCTACGAGGTAGCTCGTCTTGTAACTAGAAGGTTTGGGCTCGAACCCAGGCAGGGAGGTGGGTGCATACTGCTGAAGAGTACCAAACCAGACTGATGAAATAACTGGCTGTCCAGTACTCCCTGTTGACTTTCCAATGGTTCTATAACTGATATCATCAGCTCATGATGAAATCGTCTAACCAAAAGATGAATCGTCATTCTGAAAAGAAACATACATAGCACAAAAGCAAAGAAAGACAGATGCACATCGAAAGTTCGATATACTAAAGAGTAAAATAATAATCCCAGCTGTAAGATTAGTTACACTAAAATGAAGAGAAGAGATACATGTAAACCAATCATTTATCACAACGCACAATTGTCTATCTAGCTATCAAAATATATATGCACAAATGAAAAAGTCAAAGGTTATTACCAGTGTGCAAGAAAGTGTAAGATGTAAAGAATCGTGAATGAAGCTACGTCATCAAGAGAGTTGACAACTAATTTGTTAAATGATGAATAGTCATTCAGAAATAAGGAAACAAACAATTAAGAATGGATTACGAAAAAAAATATATAAAAAAAATTAAAAAAAGACCTCATCGAATTTATTATGCGGAAGACCACACAGATAAAATTGACACCAAGTCTATGGTAAAAAAAACCCGCCTAAATAAAATGTCTCTCACTACACAAAATCCAGGTCTCTCCTTATGGCTCGCTAACACGTCGGCTGTATGAACGGGATCTAGGAGAAATAACCGTGAACGCTTTGATTACACTTCATATATGAATGACTCTGAATAAAGTCTCTACTGATTTTACGTGACTAGAGGTAATAATGTTCTCCAGAAGTGAGCTGTTTACTGGACTGTATTCCGCTTTCGACAATCGTGGTGTAAGGTAGGTGTGTGTGTGCACATCTTTTCCTGGTGCCGCCTATTTACTTAGTTATACAGGTGCAAGTACATCGGTAAATCAGCCCTGAAGTTGATTACAGTGGGATATTGTGATTGACGTTTAAGTGAAAAGGAGTTTTGTAGGGAAGGCAAGTTGTGGGGGTGAAGGAGAAAGCTTTATTCTGGTTGCTATCGATAGGCGATTTCGGAAAAATTTACTAGTTATATCCTCCTCGAATATCAAATTTCAAAATAACTTGTTTATTCGACATATTAAAAACAGAATATTCATCAAAGAGACTCCTTTCAATGAATTTATTATCAAACTGGTTCCTTCTAAAAAGTATATCCCGTGAGGACATTTAAACGAAAGTGTAAATACAAAAAACAACAGTGGCAATAAAGTATAACTCCATTGTGGATAAAATTTATTTTCATAAAGTCTCACAGTGTTATACAGTAATATTCACTGATGACCATGTTTTAAGCACAATTTATTACTGCAGCTCATAATCATATCATATCAAGGCACACAATCACACAACTTTCTAACTTTGTTTATATAATTCCATCATTATTTCTCATCATTTGATATGATTGGTAGTAGTATTTTCCATATTTCAGTATGAGTGATGAATCATTCCTATTGCATGTGTTGGGTGTAGATTCACTCGACGAACCAAGAAGGAATCAGTAATCAATTTCTCTCACTCTCCACCTATCTAGATTACCTTTTAGAATTTTAACCCTATCCCACTCTATTGTGTGGTTGTGTGTTATTGCATGCAGTGAAACTGCTGAGTTGTTTTCTAGCTTTCTCATCTTGGCGAGGACAAAAATTTTAACCTTAGCTAAATTCGTATGTTCTAATAATCTTCCTAAGCCCGATCTACTAGTCTGACCTTTGTAGTTGACCTCATTCACAGACATTCCAAGGTATCTCGCAAATTATATTATTATGTCTAATTAATTCAACCTACAGGTTCCCTTATCATACACAGTTGTCCTACCAGAGAGAGTTTGTAAGTTTAAATGTCTCCATAATTCCTGCCTTACTGAGAATTCAACGTAGGAGGGATCTTAGATGTCCCCTCCTTATATGGTATCACTACCATAGATGCCTTATATTCTTCCTTATTTAATTGAATTTGAGATTTTCCCGTCGATTGATTGATTGGACCGAAGTGCTCTGTCTCAGGTTGACGTGTCGGCTTCTTGTGTAGATGCTTCGACGATCTCTGGACATTTAATTAGAATTGGTGGGTGGATGGTGACAAGCAGTGGAATCCACGAAAACACGCATTTCGTCCTATTTGGAACTCGTCATCTGGATGTACCTGCACTCCGCAGTGGGTGATGATGTTCCCACCGAGGCTCGCACCCAGTTCCCACTGTTTCAGACGCCAGATCGTTATCCACTAAACCACTTGGGCCACGAGAGCCAATAGTCACCATCCATCAGTTAAATTCTAATTAAATGTCCAGACATCGTCGAAGAATCTGCACAAGAAGCCAACATGTCAACCAATCGACGGGAAAATTTAAAATTCAATGTGACCCGTTGCACAAGAGTTGGCTCTCGTGGGCCAAGTGGTCTAGTGGATAACGCTTTGGAGTTTGAAAATATGGGCACTGGGTTCGAGCTTCGTTGGGAACATCATCACTGACTGACTGGAGAATGCAGGTACACCCAGATGACGAGTCTCAAACAGGACGAAATGTGCATCTTGGATTCCACTGCTAGTCACCATCCACCAATTAACTTCCTTATTTATGCTATCATTACTAGTTTCACTATTATTTTTATTTTGCTTTTGACCTTCTCTGATCTTCCTAATGAATTTTATGAGATAGTTTTTGAGACCATCGCTTTTCTTCTATCTGTTTTATTTCATCATTTAGCTCTTTTCTTGTACTACTTAGTGCTACTGCTCGCTCTATGCATCCATTGCTTTTGTGTCAGGAGGCAGCGTGTACAAGTAGAAGAAAAAACAGAAGGCGTTAATGGTTTCATCGGATGAACACACTAAAAATCGGATAGAAATCTCAGTCTGAAGAAAGTAGAAAGGCAGACTAAAGGACCAAAGGTCAGGAAGAAGAACAGGAGTATGTTTATGTTACTATTTAGAGAAAGAAACCTTCATTGTCAAGTTAAACGCCTTTAATGAGGCTGCAGATAGACCTAAATTCAAGTCCATTCCTCAGAAAACGAAGGATGAAACATTTCCACTGAGGTCATCACAGGGAATCGTAAACATTACATAGGAGAACCGAGGAAACCTGTTTGGAAGAACATAGGGACCCCCTGAGAAATATGTTGAAAGAATCCTATATAGCTGTTTTAGAAATAAAGAAGTGACAAGACAAGGAATGGCTCTCTAGAGATATGTCGAGGATAATAGAGGAGAGAAGAATAGTGAAGCAGATGAACCAGTGTAGAGATAATCAATAAAATGACAAGCTGCATACAACTTACAGGACACTCAACCAATGAGTGAAAAAATTGTGCTAGGATAGACAAAAGACGCGTTTTGCCACACTTGCGACTGAAACGGAACATTAATAGAGAGAAGACCAGTAGTTCAGCGAAGAGTCTCTTTTCCGCGAATTCATTTCCACAGCTATGCAATCACAATTATTATATATGGTTATTTTTATAGGTGTGTGTGTGTACATTAAATTTGTCAAACGAAAATACAATTAGTAAGTTTTTGGTGGAGTTAAGTAACTCGAAAGGCGTTTAGAGGAATTGGATGTTAATATAAGAGGTAGTAACAGAAGTGATGAGTTGCCACAAACGACTGTTGAGGAAGAGTTGCGTAATAACGTGAATAGTTCCATGTATCCCTGAGCACAACTCTTTCATCAAATTATTCATGTTATTACATAAATCTTCTTTAACAATCTTGTGTGGCAACTCATCAATTCTGTTACTACCCTCTTATATTAACATCCAATTCCTCTAAACGCCTTTCGAGTTACTTAACTCCACCAAAAACTTACTAATTGTATTTTCGTTTGACAAATTTAATGTACACACACACACCTATAAAAATAACCATATATAATAATTGTGATTGCATAGCTGTGGAAATGAATTCGCGGAAAAGAGACTCTTCGCTGAACTACTGGTCTTCTCTCTATTAATGTTTGAATAGGGATCTTTCATGAAACAGAACTGGCTTCAAATAAAAGAGACTTCAGAACACTTTATCAAATAACCAGGTTGGTGTCGTCGAAAAGGTAAGCACCGATGCAGTCAATGAAAAATAGTGAACGAGGAGTTCTAACCCAGGACCTGAAAGTGAGGCAGTATCTCATCGAAGAATGCATGAACCATTGGATTTGGTTCCAGTGGCTTAATATTGTATGAGGTAGCTCGCCTTGTAACCAGAAGGTCATGGGTTGGGACCCTGACGGTCTATGCGTACTGCTAAAAAGTCCCAAAATAGGCCGACAAAACAACTGTCTGGCAGTACTCGAGTGGTGGTTTTCCAATGGTTCTCTAACTGATGACAGATCATGATGAAATAGAATAAACAATCAAACACACTCCCTACAAAAATTAATACTTGATAGTTTAGACTGAATAATATAGAAATAAAAGACCTTCTTTCATAGTAATAATAATTTAACTAACCTTCATAACAATCTCGTACAGAATCAAAATAGACATAATAGTCTTCATGCTTTAGAAACAACAAGCTAAGCCATGATTCAAATGCATAAATTGGTACGTAGAATAAAATACGCACAACCCATCTTTGTTCATTTGGGCATGTATAATTAATTAAATGTAAATAGATCTATTTCATTGAAAATTAAAAATAGGGGAAAACAATTAAATTAAATTAAAAAAAATGAATGAAGCATAAGTTTAATTCGTATTAAAATTTTTTTTTAAAAACCAGACGATCCTTTTCCCTGCATACAAAATGATAAAACTGTTTATATTTATTCTTCATGTTGTAACCCTAGCTAACTTCAGCAACTCAAGGAATAATCTCGTTGACTTAGAATATGCAGATGAGGACGCTGACGTAATTCAGAGTCTTTTTCTGAACACCTTGAACAGTGAGCGGTCTTTGAATGTTTGGCATGTGATTCGCTCCCGTCAAATGTAAGATGATGCTACAGGATAGCACTGAACTGGACTGGACTAGATGAACTCCTAGCTTAGAGATAGACAGGAGTGATGTGGTTAATGGAGTATGTTGACCATTTTACTTATTCGGGAAGTCTCATCAGCGAACACCAACGAGTTGATAGCTGACGAAATCTTAGCACGGATACAGAATACTCGCTTGGCATATGCCAACTTACTCCATTTCTGACTTAGTAGACGTGATTCCCGGCTGGCTATAAAATAGAGGGTGTGTGTACTGCTCAGCAATCCTTTATATGCTCCTTTATGGCTGTGAGTGAGACATGGCCATTGAAAGTCGAAGATATGAAAAACCTGGCTAGTTATCTTTGGTTACAAGTGTCTGCGTTCTATCTCCCGTGTGAAGTGATAATAATGGTTGAGCAATATTGAGTTAGTCATCGAGTTAGAGGGAAAATCAATCGATGATGTGTTGAAGTTACTTCGATTTAGACGAACATATGCCAAGCATGTCTAGCCACCGCCTACTGAACATACTAGACATAAAATTTTTTTATTTCTTCACGTTCCCATTGGAACATAGGGCTTCAAGCTAGAGGTTTAAAGTTTTTGTAGCAGTGTTGCTAGCCTCATGCCCAACCTTTCCTCTTTACCAGCTTTATTTCTGGCTTAGCGAGGCAAAGGAGTGCGTCGGCGGGAGATAGAACTCCGGACCATGTGCATGGTCGGCGAGCGTTTCAACCTCTGTGCCACCGACGCAGACATACAAATAGTCTTTATTAAATTTGAAATAATGCTTCAGAACTGATCTAAACTACCTTCGATATTTAAATGTAGGAGGTGAATGAGGCCTTTTTGAATGTTGTGTTGACCATTTCACTTACTCCGGAGGCTGTATCAACACAGATAGATTGCTTCTTAACAAAACTTTCGCACAAATACAAAGGCTGTTTTGATATTTGAGGGGTTAAATCACCTTTACTTGGTACAGACAAGATATCATGCTATCCACCGGAGGTTGCGTGTATGTATGTTTTGCAACAACCAACTCTATTATTACTATTCTCTTGAGTTCCGAGTGGAACATAGGGCTTCAACAACACATCTCCACTTTCTTCTACTTTCTGATGTCCTCTTCATTTGGCTAGGTACATGACTGCCCATAATCCCTCATCTTTTCCTCACACTATCTCATCCATGTCACTCTATGGATCCCCAAAATGATCTGTGAAAGTATTAAGCCATAGATACTAAACCATAAGCGCTATTACTCACGTTGAGTAGAATCATAGGGTGTGTAATAGGAAAATCAAACCTAGTGTTAGGTAAGGAAAGTAATCCAGTCAACGAGGTTTTAAGTTTTTACTGGGTAAAACAAATGAAATATGTATCACTCATATCAGGTCAACGTCTTCATCAGATAGCATATTCAAGGACACAGATACAGTTTCGAAAACGTGGCTAGATCAAAACATAACACTAATCTACGAAGTCAGAAATTATTGGTTTTGAATTATGAAAGGGATTGTAAATTGCCTGGCTGAAGTCATCGGGTTACCACAAATCCATAATAAGAGACCCTTAGTTCAGGGAATGAAGTTTCAAATAAATTGTATCTATTCCATATTCATTATATTTATATACGCTTATTCTACGTAATCTTTAAAGAGGAGAAAAGATAACTTGTATTGATGCACCACTGTACAGAATTCTGTGTTCATTTAGCGGTGAAGCCTCATCGACAGAATTGACCTTATTGTTGAATATCACGGCGTTATCACAACGATAATCCACATTTTCCATTAAATAACTAAAGAAATACCAAAGCCTTACTTAGTTGGATCAATATGTTTGTACATATGTCGATGGGTTCATGCGATTCAGTGTGAGGCACGAGAAGACAGAAATACGTTGGGCCAACGAAAAGAAACCAAAAGATCTAGACTTTGCCGGTGATTTATGTCTAATATCCTACAAACTCGAAGATCTACTGGCGGAAACCAACAAGTTGGGAGAAAAGCCAAGCAGCAAAGGTAGGACTTTGATGTGAATACAGCCAAGACAGAGATGATAAAGATACCTAACCAACAACAACGAGCACTAATCACTATCAAGAGGAGAAATCTAAAAGAGGTCACTTCTTTCATTTATCTAGACGAAATCACTTCAACTACATAAAGGAACAGATGAGAATGTCAAAGACAGAATGAGAAAAACAAGATATATCCTGCTTAGCTGTAATCAGTGTGCAAAATCCCATGCATTCAGAATAAATTTGTTTTCATACCAATGTTAAGTCGGTTATTCTGTATGGTTCACAAACTTTGCACGGGCTTCAAACTTTTACCAACAGATGTCACGTTCTCTGGCTCCATAATGACGATCAGATGGCCAACTGGAAAGGATTAGCGATAAGGACCTCTACGTAGGGACCAACCAAGGATTAATCCTCCGATAAGTATTCAGAAAGAAATGGAATTAGATCGGATATACACCGATAAGGCCATTGAGTGATATCCAGAGCCAAGCTCTTCTATGTAACCTAGGTGGGGAACGATGAGATGGGCATCCAGGAATGACACGGAGGAGACTGTGTAAGTAGGTGATGAGAGCTTATGGTTTATCATGCAGCCAGCTAAAAATGACTGCAGAGAACAATGTGAAATAAAGACATTCCGTTGGAGACCTATGTTCCATTCGAGATAAAAGGGGATGATAATGTCCGCCGAAAGAAATCAAAAGTTGGAACCAAGCTATCGCTTAACCTTGAATGATGAGAGTATGATTTCAGTCAAAAGGGTTTATCAAGGCTGAATTAAGAGCTACATGAAAACATATTAAACAATAATACGATAACGATCCAGATAGAAAACTTGACATATTCATTTTATACACTGTGTTATGATTTAAAATTAGCGTGAATTGGTATTTAATACTACCTAAGTAGAAGTTATTGAAACGAAATTCGAAACATGAACCCACTGGTTGTAAGTCAAGTGTTAAAGCAGATTAATCACACTTCAACCTCAAAACTCAAATCACTGTTTGGTTGTTTGATTCAACATTTTCACTTGAGATATCGGGGTAACAATTACCAATGCAATCTAGAAATTTTACTAAGCGTGTGAAAGTAACTCAATCATATCCTCAGTGCACGTTATAGCACTAAAGATATGTCATAACTTTAGTTCTAAATCCTTGCATTACAACAAAAATACACACACGAACTAAGTTCTACCCTGTAAGTTCCTTCCACTCGCACTTACCCGTGAAATATGAGAGATCGGAATGAAAAGTAATAAATCTAGCCTTATAAGACACTATCAAGTGAAAGTGCGTATCCGTTCACTACACTTACTCTAATTACTAACCATTAAAATAAATTCGTCAACTCTTTTTCTGTAGGATATTAAAGGCTGTTGAATATAATTTCAGCTGTAATCTTTCTCCTCCTCGGCTAACTTAATCACGACTAACATTAAAAATTCTCACTTCGCGTAAATCTAACCAACATTCATTTACAGTGAAACTAATCTTGAAAAACAAACATGCAGGTTTGAAAATAAAGTATTCTTGATATTTCAGGCAAATTCGCCTAAAATATACTTGTGTCTAGGATCCTTTTCACAAAATAACCGACATTGTGGTACACTATAAGCATCCGTTAGAAAAATTCCGAATGCCGTTATGATCTGCATTAATTTACACCAAAAAGCAATCTACTAACTTTTTTACACGATTAGTGGGAACCAGTGAAAGTATTGTACATCCTAATATGTTTCTAAACTCTCATTAAAGTGACGAAGTGTATCACTGCAAACTTATTATTATTCACCATTTCAACCTAAGAATATGTTGTATAACTTCTGCAGAAGTCATGGAGATCAATGGGACCACTAGGAAACTGCACATTATTTTAAAACCCATGTCATCTAGTGGCATTTAGCAAGGATTTTATCAGAATAAATAAAATTTACCCAACGAAACTAACTTGATGACAGGTAACAAGAATGGCTGTGAAAGCAACTAGTCCAGTAAACACTTGAGCCCACTTTGTTTCAAGGAACAAGAACTGCTCCGAGACATGCTTCGATGTATTATCAAAGTGTGAAGCATTCGGTAATTCAGTTGATAAAACGCTTTGAGTGTAAGTACTCAAAAACGGGGATGAAGTAATGCCGTCCATTTTGGTGGTGAATTCAAGGATTCGCCATGAAACATTACCTATGTTATCAAGATTTAAATAGGTGATTATAACAAATGTTTGTATCGTTAACAAATTCGCTAAAATTAACAAACTACAGCTGAATCAACATTTGAAATAGATTATGAGATTTAATAATATTAAATTACCCTGAAGATGAAGTATTCCATTCATTCATTCTAGAAATTTATTAAAGCAGTTGTACTATGATTGTTTGACGGAACATCACCTGCATTCAGTTGCACACAGAACTGTTAAACAGAAGCTCTCTCAAAACATGTGTCTAATGGGGAACAATCAGATGGTCTGTAATCGTAGCTCAAGGATAAAACACTGTGTCAACCAGAATGATGCATAGTAAAATTCTGTCACCATTATGGTCTAAATTTACCGAGAGATGATCGTGTACCGCAACAGCCCCTTAGGACTGACAGTAGAACTCAGAGAAATACACAACAAACCATGCCTGCTAATTAGAGTAGGAACTGATTTAGATATCAGTATCTGTCAGCTAAATCTCAAACTGGAAATTTCCAGCTCTCACTAGGCTGGACCTCACGCTGTCCCTCGAAACTTTCAGAAACACTTTGTATTAACCAACGCGAAAACCAGAACACAGATTGGCGACCCGAGAATCTTTTATCCTTACGCCAATATGTAACTAACAATAACGTTATTATACACAAGGTCTAAGAATAAATGTTATAACAATAAATCACGATAATACTCCTGACAGTTTTCTCTTTTCCACCGAACAGCGAACGACGAGACGATGACTGGTGGATTGATGACTCCGCGAAAAATATGGAGGAGTTGGGTTTGAGCGAACAACCATGAATTGATCGTTCAATCTTCAACTACATAGAGAGTATGCCTTTAAATAAAGCTCCACTGAAAATAGCTGAGGCTGCTGCTAAACGTAATAACCTCATCATGGTGAATGAATTTCGCAGGATTGAGTCTAATGATGGGGAAGTATAATTTGTATTCAATTAGCCTGCTGTGAGTAAGCCGGTCAACAAAACCATACTTGATCAGAAGAAATGCATTCAAAATATACTTCGCCTTATAGAAACTTAGGCCCCTAAACCCCTTGATTCTTGCAACCGAAGAAACTTCCCCACAATATTCTACTGGCTACAAAAACAACACCAGGACGCGCACAGATATGCCACATAGCAGAATGGCGGGTAGACCTTACGATGCTGTGTCTTTTAATCAACACCCCAGTGGTAACAACTACTACCCGTATATCCTGGAACACATTGTAAATGCTCCAGTTGTCCCGAATCACTGTAAGACCTATGACGCCTAGGACCAGCTCGCCACACTCTAACCCCAGCGTATAAACACCAAGTCCGAACCCCTTATCATGCATAAACTTTTTCAATGCTGACGCACAAATAGAATTAGGTTATAGTGATACTTTAAGCCAGTTTGTAGAATCCCGTGACTTATTCATGATATTGCTGATTAATGCACGCTCCATAATCAATAAGATATCTGAACTAAGGACATTAATATTGGTTGCCAAGCCTACTGCGGTACTGACAAGTGAATCATGGGGCTCATCCTCTATACTTGATGTGCATATATGTACAGGTGATTACACTGTACACCGTGCAAATAGAGATTGCAAGTGTGGTGGAGGATGTCGCAAATATATAAAAATAACTCATTCGTAGTCAGTATAGTGGAAGGTGAAATATGGAATGAGGTACGTGATTCAATCTGGATCGTCTTACATAGAGCTAAGTAGTAATTTCTCACTGACTGCGTTTATCGAGCGCTGTCAGCCACGTCTCGTAAACCGTCAATACCCAGCTCTTGCTACGCTGGGACTCACGCTGTTCCTTGAAGTTTCTCAGAAACGCTTAGTAATAACGGATGCAGAAACCAAAACACCATTAGGCGACTCAAGAACTATTTACTGTAACACCAACATATAGCCAACATTAAAATAAGCTTTAAAACTAAGGTCTATGGACAAATATTACTTCTAACGGTTATCTCCCGACTTCTTTCTGAACAGCGACCGATGAGACGATGACTGGTGGATTGATGACTCCGCGAAAGATGTGGAAAAGTTGGGTTTGAGCAAACAATCAAGAATTGACCGTTCAATCTTCAACTACATTGACACTCCCCGGCAAAAAAGGGATCCAAACCTTTTTTCCTTCACGACCAATACACGTTGACTTGGATGCCATTGCGAGAACCTGGGTCACACGGACAAAGCTGAAATGGAAAACAAACAGAAAAGCCAACACACCACAGGCATACCCACAGCACAATCTCACACATCAATGACGACCTGCGCCTTCCAGTCGAAGGTATCTTCTTGACATCTTGCAACACAATCGCCACTTGCTAGAATGACTCTTGCAGAACGCAACGTGACCATAGCACCACCTCATGATACTTGTCGCACATCCTCTTATCTATTCAGTACCAATTACCACTGAAATCCCCCGTCACTCATTCTCCCTCAGTTCTAGTAACGGTGACGTATGCAAGCCTCAGTCGCCTAAACATTCGCTCCCCGGCGTGTGGGACCACAGTTAATAATTATCTCCGTTTGCGTCTCATTCTCAGAAATAGACTACCCGGCGTATGCGACCCGTAAGCTGTCTTTAACATCAATCAATTCATTCACGGATGTGGAAGACTCGAAACAACTTCAGAAGTAAGCACGACGAAAATTTTAACAAATTACGCAATAACAACAAGGTACGAAAACAACGAGCAAGCACAATTAATCCAAAATCACAAATTGGTATGATAGACCACACGTATAAAAACAGTACAAATAACTTCGCGGATAATGACTTGGTGGAATTCTTTCGAAGAATTGCAGGACTTACACGAGTACGCCTACAACCCTCGTCAATGGAGTTGAAGATTGAACGGTCAATTCTTGATTGTTTGCTCAAAATCAACTTCCCCAATTTTCGCGGAGGCATCAATACGACAGTCATCGTCTCATCGGTCGCTGTTCAGAAAGAAGAGTGAAACATCGTCAGAAGTAATACAATGATTTATTATTGTAATATTTGTTTTCAGACCTTAGTTCACTTATTCTTTTTATATGTTGGTGTAACAATAAAGAAATATCAAGCGGCAGATCGGTGTTTTGGTTTTTTCGTCCGTTATAACTAAGCGTTTCTGAAATCTTCAAGGAACAGCGTGGGCCCGAGCGTAGCGAGAGCTGGGCATTAACGGTTTATGAGACGTGATTGACAGTTTCTGACGATAGAAACAGATCTGGCGGATTCAAACAGTTGGTGAAAGTTTGGATAGTCGCCGTTCATTTTTCCTGGTGCCGGTCAAGTCCTCTTTGAACAAGCAATATCTGGAACTTTTTGGAATTGGGTCAAGTTCAACAATGCCTGGGTCAAAGAAGGGACAGAGTGTCTTGGATGCAAACAGGAAAGTAAGTCATGGTGACTTGTCTGTTAATTGTAACGATGTGTCTGATGTTAAGCATGACATGGTTGATGTTACTGTTTCGCCGTTCAGGGATAATAGGAACATCAAACTCCCTAAATTTGAACCACGGTGTTTTGATGGAAACCCGGCTGATTATTTACAATTTGTAAAGGAGTTTGAGATCATGTTGAGTGGTTTTTTATTAAATGATGAATTGAAGTTAATGTATTTGATGAGATATTGCACTGGAGATGCTGCAAGAGCTATACAGTGCTGTAAGTTTATGAAGCCAAAAGAGGGCTACTACGAGGCTATGAGCATATTACGTCAAAGGTTTGGAAGACCTTCGATGATTGCAGGGAAATTATTCGAGGCTGTTAAGGGTAATGGTGGTCAATTACAGGATGACTCCCAGGCACTCACTGAGTTTTTAGATAATTTGCTAATTTACAAGAATGGAATGATTTCGATGAATCGCATGAGTGACCTCAACTCGAGTTTTATACTAGAAGTAATAGCAAGACGCCTACCTACTCGACTGCAAAGGAAGTGGGTGAAGATAAGCTCCCGTATGGAGGATGAGGGTATCGAGCCAAAGTTTGATGATATCCTGAAACTGGTAAATAATAGTGTCAATCAATCTATGAGCAAGTTTGCCAGTCTATTGCATCTCACCCCTAGAATAGAGCAGTCTGAGGGAAAAACGCAATCATTGATGACGAAAGGGCCTCAGAGAGGTGGATATCGAGAAGGCTCCATGATGTCTAGTAATGCATATAGACCTAGTGAGTGTAACAGGTTTCGTAGTACATCCTCAACAGATAAGTTACAAGATGCAAGACAAACACGGTTGTGTTTTACACGTTTGCAAGAGGTGCATACAAAAGTGAACTGTGAACCAGTGAGCAAGTTCAGTGATAAGCTAAATGTAAACTCCAGGCCTGACTCCGAATTGTGTGACGATAACGGTGCGGTGAAGAAGTCTGTAGTTGCAACTGGTAAGCCATTGTTGAATAGAGTGTCACAGAATAGAGTTACTGCTTCAGAGTGCAGTTCTGACTCTACAAGTTTACAAGGTATTACTAGTCAGAGTGAAGATATAAAACCTTTAATGATTTGTGAGGAGGAACCAAAATTGTCTACTTCTGTTATTAAAGAGTTTGAAAATGATGAACTTGACGGTAAATTGAATATTTGTGGTAATGATCATGATAGTGCAGATTTGTCTTTGGTTGATCATGATGAAATGAGGGAATGCCTACTACCGCTAAGTTAAATAAAGGTTCTGTACAACTTGAACGTGAAGTAGAAATAAATGCAGATGCAGTTGCAGAAGGCATGCATACTTGTGAGACCGTCAGTGTAATTGATCAGCATGTAGCCCACCTATCATCAGATGCTAGTGCTAAACCTGAGCTGATAGTAAAAGACAGCAGTGGTGGTGGTCTTGCAGGTAGACAAATTTCTGAAAGTCGAGCAACAACAGCTTTTGATCCACCGCTAAGTTCATCAACTGATATCAATCAGTCGTCGTTGGTGCTGTCATCCACAATGAAAAAGACACCCATCAACTCAAGTATCTTGTGCAATGACTATGCTAGTATCAGTTCGTTTGAAAGGACGAATATCAATGGTCAGTTTAGTGAGGATAAGCCAAGTGTAAACGAGAGAGTAATTGTTAAATTGACTTGCACGAATAAAGGCATTTCTAGTTTCAAGTTACTATTTGAATGTTATTATCTTTGGTGTAAATTACTCTGTTTCTATACTTGGTTGATGAGATATGTCGTGTGTTTGTTGGTCATCTATATTCTACGATACAATGACATGGGCGTGTTGCCGTTCAGATTTGAGGATATAGCTCATAGAAGGAAGTTAGCAAATGAACTCTGCGACGATTTTCCAACCTAGAGCGTCAACCTGAGAAGGGTTGTAGGCGTACTGCTGTAAGTCCTACAATTCTTCAAAGGGTAGCGCATCAATGAGCAGTCCAATGTGCTTGGTGTGTGATTTTGTACATATGTTCATATTGTATATACTGAATTGATATCATCTGTCATCTAGCTGTTGGTAATTCTGTTTGTGTCCGGACGACTTCCACTTGGATCATCAACCTGAGAAGGAATGTAGGCGTACTGCTGTAAGTCCTACAGTTCTTCAAGGGTAGTTTGTCATGCCGGAATCCACAACATTTGATGTGTTGATTGTACATATGTTTGTGTTAAATAGTTGTGTGAGTTCCAATTGATGTAATTGTTGGTTAATCTTGTTTGTGTCCGGACATTCCACAACTTACAATCGTCAACCTGTGAAGGGTTGTAGGCGTACTGGTGTAAGTCCTGCAATTCTTCAAAGGAATTCCATCAAGACATGA